ATTATGAACCAATCAAATTTTTGTATTGAAATCTGGCCCCAACATTTCTCTGTCCAATGGTCAAAACCGCAGCTCTCTATCATGTTCCGTTCAAAAGTTATTAAAAAAACACTAAGGTCTCTTCTATTTTGAAACGGATAATAGTTATAATTGAAAAAAATAAAAGCAGCATAGTTTATTCAAACAAAGCTTCGAATGTCGCAAATGTTATATATAACCTCGACACACGAATAACAATTCTATTTTAGCATGTTGCTTGATAATACATATAACGATTAGATATACTATGAAAAGAATTAGATGGTATCTGAGCTGAGCTCAGAGTGGCAAAAGAGTGTGAAGCGCGAATCTCGAGTTTCGAAAAAAATGATATATAACAAAAAAAGGAATAATTGTTTTCACTGTGTCATGAACCGCTCTTTCCCTAAAGATGTTTACCTTTGAATAAAATAGAACATCGTTTTATCGGTGTAAATCGAAAAAGTGATAATTTTATCAATAAGTTGATCAATGTCCAGACCAACGTGAGAAATCGTCATACTAAAATTTATCACTTCGAGAACTCTATCAATGCCTATTATCATATAACTAGTGTACACTATTTATTGATCGCTTAATTACTTATAATCAGCTACATTAACAGTTGTTTTATACGTGAACAAAGTAGATGGCATCTAACTCGCATTTCAATTATCGTGAAGTTTGCAACAAATCAAAGTCTTGAAAAACTTGTCTTTTTTGGGATGTTATTTGTAAGGGAATCGAACATCCTCGAGAATATTGCAAAAAGTGTTTATCACCTTCACTAGGAAGGCAGGCTAAAATGACAATGAGTATATTAGCTACAAACGCAGATGATAACTTACTTCCAGTAAATATTAATAAAAGCAAAGCTTTTCTTGTTCATGATTGTGTAGCATCATGATACCCTCAAGTGAAGTACAGATGTGTAAAAATTGATTTTATTAAACGTTTCAAGTATCTAGAGGTTGATTTAACAACTAGACTCTGATGGAAATTTATATCGTACATGATGTACAAAAACTAAGAAAAATCTATCACACTCTTCGACTTATTTTTCAGAAAAATACTTATTTCTTTAATTCAATTAAAAAGGAAATTGTTATTCGCTTACAATTTGCCGCATTTAATCTGGCTATTATTGCGTTGGTTTTTTTGTATCGAGATACAACAGAGACTATTTGAACACATCTATTGATTAGGTATCACATGCAAAACATGCAGTTGAAATTTGTCGAATGATATTAAAGTTTATATATTCACAAAAGATAATACAATAAATGACTATTTATATAAATACTGAACAAAATCTAATAAACATCTAGAAATCTTTACAAAAAGCACATTAATATTAACTCACCTTTTTTTCATATCTTGCCGCAAAAAAACTCCTCAAAAGAATTGGTACCTAAGTATAGATACGCCCAAAAACAGTCAATTTTTGAATCGCTTGTTTATGAAAGCAGATCTCTCGAAAATCGACCCGTTCGACGCTTTGAACAGTCATTCTCAGTAATATAGGTAATTCAAGCATGAAATCTTTCCAAAATATTCTTTATACGTTCGTATGCTAGCAGCCAATTCATGTATTTGGGAACACATTTGCCAACAGACTTGTGGCGAAAAAGATACTAGTTATACCAGACAATGCACCAAATTTACTGTCAGATGCAAACCTTTAAAAAAATTTTTATTGTAGAAAGTCACTTACACATTCACAACAACTACTTATAAAACCCTGTGCTTAGTAAAAAAACTAAGAATTTCTAGCATAGAATCCATTTAAGAGTTGTGCCAATGGAGAAATCGTCTGTACCAAATAATAATCGATGAGATCTATCGACTTATACCGAAGTTGACATTGCTCATTTGGAAGATAAAAGTCTACGTAGTTGAAGACTAGTCGTACCGGGATTTTTAACGCATATCACGACCAAATATTTATTCAAACAGTTGTTCCAATTGAGAAAAAGTATAGGGTATAGGTGTGAGTGTTCTTTTCACCCACACACCTATACTGACATCCACATCTACACTAATAATTATTACTACAGTAGCATTTAATAGCATATTAACAATAGAACTATTATAATTACAAGTGAGTCAACATTGATTGTAAAATTTATTATTAAATTGAAGATCAGGTTTAGCAATGACAATATGAGTATTTATAGCATTAGGATTACAAAATAAAAATAAGAATTTTACTTATTCATTATGCTTCAAATACGTTAAGAATTATAAATATGGATCATGTATAAGTAGGATTAGCCTTTTCAATATCAAACAATAGTAGCTGACTGACAAAAAATTACAATGAACGAAAATTAATAATTATTTAGAATAAAAGTTAAGAATAGGAAAAATACATGTCTAAAATTATGTTTATCAATGTGAACGTATCTTTTCACGGAGTTGTCAGTGATAAAATGGTATATTTATTTGTGATATTTTAGTTTGTTAGTCGTCTCTTTGCACAGTCCTCCGGATAAAAAATTAATGGAACTGATCTAGTAGTGAGGTTTAAGCTTGATGATTTTTCGATGATTGCTAGAGATTCCTTTATTAGCAATCGATAACGATATTTGTCTCTGCCGAGTAATAAACAATTATATCAGTCCATCCGATGCCTAGTTAGTGCATTATGACATTGTTTTTGTCTGTAGCAATGCTAGCAGAACGCCTGAAAACATGATTTTATTGTCCTATCTGTGCAGATGATCGTGTGCCATGCTATTTTGAGTGTTAGCAAGCCTGTCTCATTGTCCTTTCTATACATATATAGCTGAAAAGTCGGTACAATGAAGCGAACTATATGAAAATACAGTTGGCAATCTCATAACGGAACAGCTGCAATACGCCGCAAAGTTAAAATTGATATCTGATTAGTTGAAATACAACGTAGAGTAGGAACTCAGATTATATAATCACTCACGGATATTGAAAGATCTTGCAAAAAATACAACGATTCACATAAATAGATCTGACAAGGATAGCAATATTTTTATTGTCGATCATAAAGAATATGTTGATAAAATGCTTGAAATATTATGTTATGATCTAACACTAGAAAAAGAGAATCGATTGATAAATCTACTGCGAAGAATGACGGATCGAGATTTTCTATCTAGAAGTGAATACCAGTTAGTAATCTCATGTGGATCTCAGTATTCGAGAATGTCTGGATTGTCCAAGATCCAAAATATAAGACTACCATTAAGACCTTTCATGTCAACAATCAGTAGCTATAATTATCGACTTGCTAAGCTTCAAATTACAAAGCTACAGTCATTCAGATATAATCAACAAATACTTTAAAAACACAATGTAGTTTATTGAATTCATGAAAAACTTCAAACCAAATATAAAAGAGCATAGAATGATCTCTTTCGAGGAAACCACTCCATTTAGTAAGGTTTCCTTATCATATTCTGTGGGTATGATTTTTGACAAGATGTATAAATCAGAACATGATTGTCCTCAAATTATGAAGAAAAAGACGGCTCAGTGCTTATAATCCTTTCTTTTGCAGTGACATCTATAGATACCATTTTTTTTAAAGTTTCGTTCTCTTGAGTTATAAGACATACAGAAATTAATTTTATACAAAATTAAACCACATCTATTGCAGATTTTATATCAGTAATTCGAACATAACATTCTTCGTAAAAACTTTACTTGCTGCTCAGACAATATATAATGTGATCACATATGCTACTTATTGATAAAAATGTAAAGTTTTGCTTTGTTATTTTGAAACTTGTCATTTCCAATTATATCATCAATTAGAAGAATAGAACTTACAAAGTCTATTTACACACTACAACAAATTATGCTTTACAAACTGAAAGCAATTTTTGTATGCTTACCATAGTAGTATCATTATATCCATTTTGTTGTAGCTTTCATAAGTTTTTCTATACAATAAAATTTACGGAACATTTAATACGTTAATTAACTGTATGTGCACTTAATCGATATGATTCAAACATTTTGTGCGAATATTAAAGACCATGGTAGTCACAATGCTGGACGAATTTCAGTTCCAGGTCTTAAACTTTTATCATGGAAAAAAAAAAGAATTAAGGTAAACTTTACCTGATATCGATGATATGTGTCGATAATTGTATTCAGTCGTATACAAACATCACGAACTGATCACAAACTTGTTAATTCGTCAAGATGATCCAGAATACGATACACAAGCTCAACAGGTAAACCCAAAAAAAAACGAAGAAACTTTATCAGCCATTAATATTGATTTCTTTTGAACTGTAATTTTTGTTAAAATAAATGTGTGTTGAAATTTATTTTTCTTTATATCGATGTATTTATTGACAATGAGTCATCAACTTTCATCGTGGGAAGAGCAATGATATTCGTAAATATGTCA